CTGAATTTTCGACTCCTGCCTGGGTCCCTGCTTCACCGCAGTCCCCTAGGGTTCGGAAATGTAGTTCTGCCCCGACAAGGTCGCGTGTCCCCATGCCCAACACAGGGAGGCCCTTTAGGGAGGATCTGACCTGTCCACTCTGCTGCCAGGGGACCCTGGGCCCAAGCCATCTGCACCCTTCTCCCGGGGTCGTCGTTGCCTTTGCAGCTATCCCCCTCCCCCCCGCCCCGTGCCCTTATCCTCGAATGTCCGGATGGAAAGGCGGAAGAAAGGCGCCCTTTGCCAAGTGATTTGATCCTCTAGCAGTCTCCCTCCACAGACCGGGATCTCTTCCAGGGCACACGCCAGGGCTGATTCATCCCTGTATTCTGAGCCCTCAGTCTAGGACGGCGAAATTCCTCCCGGCCGCCCCACCCTACCGCATCCCGCCAACATCATGGCAGAGGCAGGACTCGAACCCGAAGTCTCCGGGGCAACCCTCATTTGCATACCAGCGCATTCCCCCACCCGCAAACCCAGCGACGCGCACGCGCAATGTGTCGGCGCCACGGCCCCAGCCCCCGCCTCCCCTCCGTAATCCGCTGGCGTGCTGGAGCCAACCGCCTCCGTCGACGCATGCTCAGTCCGGCGCTCACGTTCCGTTCTCGCGCGTCCAGCCCGCCGCGCATGCGCAAGACCAGCGGCCCGCGGGACCTGGTCTCAGCTTGGCCCCGCGATACCTCCTCTTCCTCTCCCTCCCTCCTTCGGGCCGGCCTTTTTTAGGAGCCACACCCTGCACACTGAGGCCGGTTCCGGAGTGGCGGCTGCCCGCTTTCTCTCTCTCTCCCCCCACGCTCCCGGCTCCCAGACGCCATTTACGGGACGGTGGCTTGTGGTAGAACGTCCCTGCCCCCACTCCCCTCTCGTCACGGGAGAGCGCGCGCCGCGCCCCAGGAGCCAATCAACAGCCGCCTTCGGTAAGGAGCGGGCGGGGCATGTAGGGGCGGAGCCTGGCTCCGCCCCTGCCGCGATCGTTTTACCGCTCCGTCCCCGCCCCGACCGTTTAACGGTCGCTCGGACGTCGGGCGGGTGTGCGAGGGCGCCGCAGCAGCCGGTTAAATACCGGGTTGGCGGGAGCTAGGGCGGGGACCCAAGTTACGTGTAAACAGAAACTTCTGTTTTGGGAGTCCCGAATAGAACCTGTCAACTACCCGTGAAGTCCTGGAGAGGGCGCACCAATAACGTGTAAAAAAGGGCCGTGATTTCTGGGCTTGCACTCCGAGAGGGCTTGTGAGCGCTCTTTTTTTTTTTTTTTGAGTTGGAGTCTCACTCTGTCGCCCAGACTGGAGTGCAGTGGCTGCTGGACTCGACCTGCTGGACTCCGGCGATCCTTCCGCCTCAGCCTTCCAAGTAGCTGGAACTACAGGCGCGCGCTACCACGCCCGGCTGATTTTTTGATTTATTGTAGAGATGAGGTCTCGGCTGCCCAGGTGGGTCTCGAACCCGCGGGCTCAGGCAATCCACTCACCTCAGTCTCCGAAAGGCGCGGGATTACAGGCTGAGCCATCCAGCCCGGCTGTGAACGCTCTTAAATATTAGGGTGGGCCTCCAAATACGTGTAAACAGAAACGAGATCGGGCGCGGTGCCTCACGCCTGTAACCTCAGCACTTTGGAAAGCCGAGGCAGGAGGATTGCTTGAGCCCAGGAGCTCGAGACCAGCCCGAGCAGCATAGTAAGACCTCGTCTGGATGAAAAACCAAAAACTTGGCCGGGCTCGGTGGCTCAGCCTGTAATCCCGCGCTTTGGGAGGCCGAGGTGAGTGAATTGCCTGAGCTCGCGGGTTCGAGCCCCACCTGGGCAACTTGGCGAGACCTCATCTCTACAATAAAATCAAAAAATTAGCTGGGCGTGGTAGCGCGCGCCTGTAGTTCCGGCTACTTGGAAGGCTGAGGCGGAAGGGTCGCCGGAGCCCGGCAGGTCGAGGCTGCGGTGGCCAGGAGCAGCCACTGCACTCCAGTCTGGGCGACTGAGTGAGACTCCAACTCAAAAAAAAAAAAAAGAAAACCAAAAACTTAGCCGAGTGGGGTGGCGTGCGCCTGTAGCTATTCGGGAGGCTGAGGCGGAAGGATTGCCTAAGCCCAGGAGGGGGAGGCTGTGATGAGCCATGATTGTGCCGCTGCCCTGCAACCTGGATGACAGAGTGAGATCCTGACTCACAAACAAAACCCTGGAGTTGTGGGGTTCCCTGTGGGAGGCCTGTACATCACTGTCTAATTACGTGGGGTCCGGGAGGGCCTCATATGAGAGCCTGTCGATGTATGTCTAAGTACTAGGGAGTCCTGTTGGGCATAGTGGCTCACACCTGTAATCCCCCCAGCACTCAGGATTGCCTGAGCCCAGGGGTTCAAGACCAGCCTGGGCAACTTGGTGAAACCTCATCCCTACAATAAATTTTTAAAAATAACCTGGCATGGTGGCGTGCGCCTGTGGTTCCAGCTACGAGGAAGGCTGAGGCGGAAGGATCTCCGGAGCCCAAGCAGGTCGAGGCTGCAGTGTCCATGAGTGTGCCACTGCACTCCAGCCTGGACCACAGAGTGAGACTCCTGACTCAAAAAAAAAGGACTGGGGAGTCCTTAGGACAAGGTGTAAATAGACTGTTCAGTTCTGGGTGGGCACGACTCAGGGTGGGCATACATAGCGTACATATTCGGGAGCGTCCCCAAGTAATTTTCAACACTTCGATTCTGGGGATCCCTGAGGGAGTGTGAAGGGATGCTCGAGTACTCTGGAAGCCCCCAAGGAACATGAGAATTGTGTCTTAGCCTCTGGGAGGTCACTATAGGAGTCCTGGAGGTGGATGCTTGCCTGGCTTTGTACGTTTGGGGATCCCCCAAAGGAGCCGGAAACAGCATTGGCGTACCCATGCTGCATGTGGGTGGGCTCTTAATCTCTGGGGAGCTCTCAACAGAGGCTAATGAATAGACTCGATTGCACAAAGGGACACCAAGGGACACCGGCAGGAAGGGTCTCCCTTAGATGTGTAAATAGTCACCTCTGTGCTGGGCAACCCCTGCTGAGGCATGGAAGCCGACACTTAGGCACCGTCATGGTTTCAGAATCACATGTAAGCACACACTTTGCAAGGGAGAGGAGTCCCGAGTTCTGGAGAGACTCCGTTAGGGACTAAAAGCTGTCGGTTAGGAGCTAAGTTGTCCTCCACAAGCACCTGAGCACCAGCCCTGCTCTCTCTGGGAGACTGAGGCCTAGGGGGTTCACTAGAGCAGGATGGGAGGTTAGACGCTGCCCTGCATCCCGTAACAGGTTCTTCGGGGCTGCAGGGTCTCACAGGGACCTGCTGGTGTCTTTGTGTACTGCAGGGGAGGGGGGATCAGAGTGGTTTAACAGCCACTTAAGAGCTAAGCTGGGGCCAGCAGACTATTCTGTAAAGGACTCCAGAGTAATTATTTCAGGCTCTGCAGACTCAATTCTGCCCTTATATCAAGAGGGCAGCCACAATTTGGAAATTGATGGATGTGGCCATGTTCCAATAAAACTTTGTACTTACAGAAACAGAGGGCAGATCAGATTTGACCCATAGGCCACAGTTTGTCAGCCTGACCTCTGAGCTAGAGCAGATAGTCCCCGAGAGTTCTTCAAAGTTAAGTGCTTGAAGAAGTTAAGTCCCTCCCTAGAGTGATGTATAAACACCCGGGGTCTCCCTGGAGACCTGCAATCAGATACATGGTGGAAACTGGGTTGCATGGGTAGCCCTGCATTATGTAACATCTCAAATAGACTCAACACAGGGGAGACCTAGAAATGAAGTGAAATTCAGTGAGACCCTGAAATGTGGTAGGAGGTGAAATAGGCCCTAGACACTGGAGCCCCTCATATGCCAGTAGTGAGTAATCAGGGGAGTCATGGGCTGAGGGTTGTGCTGCTGATTTGTAAGGAATGCTTTGCATTTTGAGAAGGAAAATATCTCATTTTTATATAAACCTGACCCTATGAGTTTATTTATGTTGGAAAGCATTGTAATCATTAGGAATTGTTTTGGCTACAAGTAAGAGATAGATGTGTGTTTGTCACTGCCTCCAGAGGGAGGCACTTCAGGGTTAATAAGTGACTCCCTCAGCTGGATGCTGTGGTTCATGCTTGTAATCTCAGCACTTTGGGAGGCTGAGATGAGAGGATTGCCTGAGCCCAAGGGTTTGAGACCAGCCTGGGCAACTTGGCAAGACCTCCTCTCTGCAATAAATCAAAAAATTAGCCGGGCATGGTGGTGCACTCCTGTGGTTCCAGCTACTTGGAAGACTAAGGTGAAAGGATTACCTGAGCCCAGCAGGTCAAGGCTGAGGTGGCTGTGACTTGCCACTGCACTCCAGCCTGGGTGACAGAGTAAACTCCGACTCAAAAAAAAAAAAAAGGACACTCCCCCCACAACCTTGTGTCTTGTTTCACAGCACCTTCCAGTAAGCTGCCCTACAGCTCAAGCTTACCTACAGTAAGTTGCTTGAGCTCCAGCCTCCAAACCCACATTTCTTCCAGCCAGGAAGAAGAAGGGGCAAAAGGCATGAGCCGGTGTCTTTGAAGGGAAGTTCACAAAAGCTGTCAGACCTCACTTCTGGTGTCATACCATTAGCCAGAGAGTTCTTGGTCACGTGGCCACTCCTGACTGTACGAGGGCTGAGAAGTACGTTCTGGATGGCCGTGAAGCCACCTCAGAACTAAGGGTTTTCTTTTTGGATGACGCCAGGAATGGATATTGGGAGCCAGTGGGCAGTTGCCACAGCCACAGATCTCTCTTGAGGGGAAGAGCCTTTATATACCTAGGGTAAGCCAAGTAGAGTGGGTAGAGACTCTCATCCTGAAGCCCCTGTCTCCCTCCATAGGTGACCATGTCTGAGTCTGGACACAGTCAGCCTGGACTCTATGGGATAGAGCGGCGGCGGCGGTGGAAGGAGCCTGGCCCTGGTGGCCCCCAGAATCTCTCTGGGCCTGGTGGTCGTGAGAGGGACTACATTGCCCCATGGGAAAGAGAGAGACGGGTGAGTGTCTGGACCGAAGAGCATGATTTTTATATCCAGTTGTCCTGCAAATGCTTGCTGAGCACCTGCCATGGGCCTGGCAGTAGTCCAGAAGCTGGGGATGTATTGACTGGCTTCATGGGGTAAGAAGGTAGAGATGATAAAGGGTCTGTTTAGATAACAGAGCCATAGAAGACCTCTTTGAAGAGGTGACTTTGGAGCAGAGACCTGAAGGAGATGAGGGAATAAGCCATGCCACAGCCGGAGTTGAAGAGCGTGCCAGGCAGAAAGAACCGCAAGTGTGAAGACCCTGAGGTGACCTGTATCTGCTGTGTTCAAGGACTGGTCAGGCCAGTATGGCTGCAGTGGATGAGGAAGGAGAGTGATAGTGGATGAAGATGGAGAGGTGCCTGAGCCCAATCATATAGGACCCAGTCAGCCTTGGAAAGAAGCTTGGATTTCACTCTGACTGAAATTGGCATTGGAGGGTTTGAACTGAGAGGTGCCATAAGCTCGTATAAAGAGTTATGCAATAATAGTAACAACTGTATCTGTTTACTGAACAAGCGCTTTACGTCCTTTGGGTCTTCCTGGACCCTTACAGCTACCCCATGAGGTCGAGCCTATGATAGATTGATTTTCATCAGTGAGGAAAATGACCCCCAGAGGTGAAGGGACTTGCCCAGAGCCACAGAGTCATTGAGTTGTGGGGCCAAGGCTCAGATCCAGGCCCCGCTTGGTCTCAAACCTAGAATCATTCTGTAGCTGTCGAGAGTTTACCCAGGCCCTGCCTCACTCCGCTCCTGTGCTTAAACGACTCTGCCAAAACCTGCCCTGAGGTCTTTCTGCAGGACACTGTCCACCCTGCAGATGTTGGTAGGGTAGAAGTTGGCAGCCGTTGGGGCCAGTTTCTGAGCTATAAAACTGCACACATGAGGCATAATTTATACAGTGAGCTGGGCTCGTGCTCGTTCCTTCTCTTGGGTAACAGCATGAATGAGAACATTTAGTCCATCTTTCGTCCATATATGTCCTTCTGGGAAATGCTGTTATCTTTCTACACCTTTCTATGCAGCCAGCAGGAGGCAGGACCAGGTTGAGCCCAGATCTGTCTGGCTGCAGAGTCTTAGCTCCTTTCTACCTGGGCTTGTCTAGCAGAGGCATATGAACAGAATGGTTGAGGATGTGGTTCTGGAGTCAGGCTGCCTGGGTTCAAGTCCTGGCTCTGTTGCTTATTGGCTGTGTGACTTTGAGCAAGCTGCTTAGCCTCTCTGGGCCTCAGTTTGCAAATGAAGATTTGTAAAGTGGGGGTAATAACAGTATCCATCTCACAGTGTCCCGGGCAGGATTGAGGGAGTTAATATATGGGGGCATAGAAAGGCCATCTAGAGTGTCCAGGAAGCTGGGGAGCCATCCCTGAGTAACTGTCCTCCCTCACCACAGGATGGCAGCGAGGAGACAAGCACTTCCGTCATGCAGAAAACCCCCATCATCCTCTCAAAACCTCCAGCAGAGCGGGTGAGCAAGGAAGAACCTTTAGAAGGAGAGTGGAGAGGAGCAGTTAGGGAAGGGATCGCCCCCACTGACCAAAACTTTCTTACCCCCCCAGTCAAAGCAGCCACCGCCTCCAGCAGCCCCTGCTGCCCCGCCTGCCCCAGCCCCTCTGGAGAAGCCCATTGTCCTCATGAAGCCACGCGAAGAGGGGAAGGGGCCTGTGACTGCCACAGGAGCCTCCACCCCCGAGGGCACCGTCCCACCACCCCCGGCAGCCCCTGCACCCCCCAAGGGGGAGAAGGAGGGGCAGAGACCCACACAGCCTGTGTACCAGATCCAGAACCGGGGCATGGGCACTGCTGCGCCAGCAGCCATGGACCGTGAGTGGGGACTGGGCCGGATTGAGGTGGGAACTGGCGCCCCCTCCCATGCAGACTCTCACCACCTTCTCTGTCTCCTACTTTCCCCAGCTGTTGTGGGCCAGGCCAAACTGCTGCCCCCAGAGCGCATGAAGCACAGCATCAAGCTGGTGGATGACCAGATGAATTGGTGTGATAGTGCCATTGAGGTACTGACGGGTCCCTCCCTTCTTGAGCTGCCCCAAGTCCCACACCCTCTGTCCCTCCACCCCTGCTTCCCCTGCTTGGCAGGCAACACCAAACAGGACAGCTTTCAGGCAGCTTCATTGGTGAGAGGGGGGAGTCAGAAAGTTCTCACCTAACCAGGGCTGAATTTCAACTAGCTCAGCTGTGCTGGTTTTTAAAGCTAAAATACTGAACCACTGCAGGTGGGCTTGGGTGCTGAAAGTCGGCAAAGGGGTGCTCTCACTGCCACCTGGATGCACCAAGATCTCCTGTGTCATCCTGTAGCAGGAGCCTTCTGGATGCCCTTCTGTGTGACTGAAGATCATGCTGTCCCAGTGTTGGCAGTTTTGAATGTCACTTTTTGGATGTCCTCCCTCCATCCCAGCAGCCTCTGCTCTAGTTCAGGCCTCACGCTCCTGGACCATCCTACCTAATTCCAGTCTCCCAGTCCTCATATCCCCGTGTCTGCTGGTTTTTCTCCCCCAGACCCGTCACAACATTTCCCTGCTCAGGTTCTCCCAGAGGTGTCCTCACTCCTTCCCCAGCAGCCTGGACTTGGGCAGCCTGAGGTCTATTATTTAATTAATTTATTTTTTATTTTTTTATTTTTTTTGAGTTGGAGTCTTACTCTTTCGCCCAGACTGGAGTGCAGTGGCTGCTCCCGGCCACCGCAGCCTTGACCTGCTGGGCTCTGGCGATCCTTCCACCTCAGCCTTCCAAGTAGCTGGAACTACAGGTGCGCACTACCACACCTGGCTGATTTTTAATTTATTGTAGAGATGAG